GGAATCTACCTACTTTTGTAATGGAAGGGGGCCCATTTCAGTGGGCCTTGACGACAGATATCGCTACCTTCCGTCCCGGATGCAACCCCGACGGAGTCGAAGGAGTCGACGTTTTTCCCTGGGAGAAAAAAGCAGTGCTGGAGTATTATGCGAACGGTAAAGGTACTTTAGTGATGTTATTATCAATTGGTAACTAACGTTACATGTTTGCGTACACAGAGCTACGTACTTGAGCGCGAACATCCAGTCTACCTACCCGTGATGATGCTGAGCTAGCGCGCGCTGCTCAAGTCGTTCGCGAAACCTACGGCCACCTATTTGAAGGACAAGTGGTCGCAACGAAGGGGAGAGCGTGCCACAACCTTCGCAACCATCTCAAACGCTTTCACCGCCTCGAAGTGCACCTCCTAATGTCCCTGCAAGTGCCCCAACATCCCCACCGTCTAGTCCTGGAGCTGGGCGACGGCCTTTTCGCCCTACGAGGCGCTCATTGGCTGATTCAGAGAGTCATATGGCGGCTACATCTCCGCCACACACGACACTGATTGCTTCGTCACCCCATGTCAGCGTTGGTAGTCCGGACCACCCCGAGTTTGAAGCCGAGGAGACTGTGGACGATGTGTCGGTGGAATCGGTCGAGGAAGGAAGCGATTTCCAGCCTGGTGCTATATATTATGCTGCATCTTGTGCTGCATATAGTACTGTATCTTGTGGTGCATTTTCACTGATTTGTGTATGGTTCGCTGCTTTATAGATGGTAGTGTTAAAGATGGAGTTGACGATGAAGATGAAGATGGAGGAGAGCAGTGAGCTACTTGTTGATAAAGACGACTCGCTCAATACGGTGTGTGATGGAGACGACGCTGCCGAGTATGCTGCCATGGAATCTGGTGATGATGCTGCAAAAGACAATTTGGTTATGGATGAAGACAGTGGAGACGATGACGAATGCGCTGATACGTACATTCCACCTGATGAAGACGAATCGGAAGCTTCTGAGACTGAGATTGCTGCTGAAGTTCTGTTCGCGGAGCGATTCCTATCTAGTTTTGGAGGAGGGGGCGCAGTGTTAGCTGGTAATCTCAAGAGCGATGTTCTACGTGAAATGGCCGCGGCTGGTTGGGAAGATGTGGAGGGACCAGATACGTTTGGCTACATGAACACTCCGTACGAGCCTGTGGACAACACACGAAGCTACCCTGGGCTACGGCAAGGGTATTCGGGCCCCACAGCTGATGCACTGCGCAATGCTGACTCTCCGCTTGCGCTTTTCGTTTTCTTTCTACCAGTGGTGCTGTGGCAGCACATTGCGGTGTGCTCCAACGAGTATGGGCGTGAAATGGCACGCCTTCGTGTTGATGAACGGTACAAACACTACCGTAGCAAGTGCCGGCTCAATCCTCAACTACCAAAGAAGACCAAGCGAGACATCAAGACAGAGCTAGAAGGTGCGAAACAGATACAACCTCACGAGCTTTGTCGCTTTATCGGCCTCCTAATTGCACGCACGAGTGCCCCCAACCGCGAAAAACTTGCAAACCATTGGCAAACTACTGATGAAGGCGGTATTCCACGTGGAGCGTTTGGATCCGTGCTGCGTCGCGATAGATTTATACAGATTTCTTGAATCCTACATTTCAATCCAAACTCTGATCCAAGGGCGGTCACAGATAGAGCATGGAAGATTCGCAAAGTTGTGGAAGTTCTACAAAGGACATTTGAGCGAGGGTATGTGGCTCCAGCACACTTGCCTTTTGATGAAGCGATGCTTCCTAGCCGCTCGTAGTTCAACAAGATGCGTGTCTATATGAAAGACAAACCCCACAAGTGGGGCACGAAGCTCTTTATGTTGTGCAGTGCGGTGACCGCCTACTGCATCAGGTATATTTTTTTGGTTCTAAGTTTTTTCTTATGCTGAATAATGCAGACTAAAGCTGGATATTTTGCTATAAGTATGCTGCATTTATACAGGTTCGAGGTTTACTGCGGTAAGAAACAGCACTCCGGCTATGCACACAAGACGTATATGAAGTCAGGGCCTGCTGCAGTAGTCCGCAATCTTCTCGCTGTGTTTGGGCCAGATTCTCGGATGAATGGGATGAGACTTGTTGTAGTGGATCGGTTCTATACGTCGGTGGCATTGGCAATTCAATTGCTGCTCATGGGATTCTACTGTGTTGGGACTATTATGACAAACCGGTTGGGCTATTGCAAAGGAGTCGTTGAAAAAAAGAAGTCTAGACCTGCTACTATTGCTCGCGGATCTTTCAAAGTTTCAAGATCAAAGTTAGTGCCAAACACGACTGCTGTTAGCTGGTGGGACGCGCGGCCGGTTCACTTTATCTTCACTGGCGGGAGTCTTGAGATGGATCGTGTTGCTCACCAAGAATTCGCAGATAAAGTCGAAGTTCCTTGCCCACGCGTCGTGAAGGACTACCACGCCTTCATGAAGGGCGTGGATGTCCACGACCAGTTACGTTTGCAGCGGTACTCTATTCAGCGGTCCGTGCGGTTCAAAAAGTACTACAAGTCGCTGGTGTTATGATTAATTGATTTAGCAATTGTGAATGGCTACATAGTCCACAAAGCCTACTACAAGCAGAAGCCGTCTCGCCCATTGACGCATGTGAAGTACATGAAGAAACTGCATTTGCAGCTGTCGCAGCTGCACGCGTCCGACATGTATGAAGGCAACACGTTTGGTACACACGAACCCTCACAAGGCGCTTCCGTTCCAGGATCTGGAGGTCTGCAAACTACTCACGCTGTCCGCCAGCTTGATGAGTGGCGCAATACGACGACGCAGCCGAAGCGCCGACAGCGCGCGTGCAAAAGTCTACTCGCTTCTCCGTGTTGCGGGCAAACGCGCGGACAACAAACATCGTTCTTTTGTCAAGAATGCAGCAGCACGGGGCCAATGTTCCTGTGTATGAAGCCGCGCCGACAGATACGTGGAGTAGCTATGACATGCTGGGATATCTGGCACCCAGAGTGGATGGACAGCAAGTTGGTTCCGGTCGACACTGGTAGAAATATCCGAGTGCGTCGAGCTGCAGACACGTCGACTGGAGCTCCGTCAACGCCTGGAAAGCCTGTCACGCCTTTCACACCACTGGATCCGGCTAGTAGAGGAAAGCGACGTAGGACAGACAGTTAGCTGGCAAACTGCATTGCTGTGCTTGGTGTTACTTAAATAAAAAACTTTGAGCAGAATATATGCAGTCTAATAAATCCGGATGATTGTGTTCCGCACAAGGTATTGCTGGCTCATCTGGCACTGTGCCTAATCCATCTGACTCTTTTGTCAACTGATCTTTTCACTTGATTTGAGCCTCGAGCTGCCAGCACCGCATCATCTGATGGCGTTACTTTCTGTGGGTGACCCCCCATCGGACACAATGACACTTTGTATGGGAGGTTTTCACCTCAAAATGTCTAAAAATGTAAACTCTACCAAATGCACAGACCGATGCGGATGGCTCGTATCTGTACAGCGTCTGTCTACTACCGGTCCTGTAATGCTGCATTATGCAGACTGTCCAGGTCAATTCAGCTCCCAATATGCACCTTATGGACACTTTAGTCTGGTCCATACCCATTCACGACTGACTTTACCCCGTTTCCCGCCAGTGGCCCAACCCTTTATTTACAAACATCAAATCATGGTAAGTTGCATATGCAATTTAGAAAAAGCAAAAATCGCTCCGGGTTGCAGGGGTTAATGTACTTTTTTTTAATGAGCGCGGTTGAAAATGCGTAAAGTATGGGAAGAAAAATTATGTCTTCACACTTTAAAACTAGTTTTTGTATGTAAAGGCCGTCACATATGAGACCGCGTCAATCAAAATATTACTTATGAACCTAAGTACGAATCGCGATTTAAGCACTCTAAACGAAAGCGGGGCGTCTCCTCTATCTTTTGAGCCCTTATAAGCTACATAATGCTTAAAACTGAACAAGTTGTGGTCGCTCAAAAATATTATCTCCATTTATGGACCCTCGAAATGACGATACTCAATATTTTTTCAATCTTAAAAATTCAAGTGTTATTTTAAAGCTCTTGTTAAAGAAATTAAATAAGGGTAGTTTTACAGTTTTTTCGATGGAAGTTTACAATAAATGTCACTGTTTCGGTCAAGTGCGAAAATCAATTGGCCAGCTTTAAGCTCGATTATCTCAAAGGTTCATAAGTAACATTTTGTTTGACGCAGTCTCATATGTGGTTTCCATTAATGGCCATAATGCGTGGACGGGTTTCATAGATTCAAATGCATAATGTATGGGACCCTCGAAATTTGATTGCGATTAATGCCATTATCGGGAGCCCTGTATATATACTATCGAGTATCAGTCATTATAATTACTCTTACTATTTTAATGAGTTGTCAAAGCTAGAGGAGCAAGCATAGTAACTCTTTTTATTCATATTCGCGAATATCAAGATATCATTACAAATATTAAGATAAGCAATCGCCGATAGTTACAATACTAGACCTTACGTCACTACATGTAGCACCCTCCGGTGCTGTTCATTATTTTGAAATCTTGCTTACGAAAGATTTTATATAATGTCACAGCGACGCAATTGTTTTTGCAATTGCTGCCTTTCTATTCTAGAACAGTAATAACACCGAATATCCTTCGGTTTTCCAATGTTGCGTGCACATTTTCTAGAATGATTTCGTACTCAAATCATTAACAAAAAAAAACAATGCACTTCTGCACCATCCATCACTGGACCTCGATGTGGCGGTTAGCAAGTAACCATTCCCGTGCCATTGCCCTTAGGCTTTAGGACTCCGGTTCTTTGTTGTCCGAGTGGGTGATTCTCAGGGTCAGCAATGTATTCTGTCGCAGTCTTCTCCAGGATGGCGGAGGCTGCTTCCGCAAGTTTCATGAGCTTCCAGTACTGCGACCTCGTCATCTCGTGGGGCTTTTCATCAAGACAACACAAGGCGCCAATGACGACTCTCTCAGGCTGTCCCGAAGCTCTTGACACACACGGGATCGACACGGGGAAACCAGCGTAGAACCGAAGACTGCGCATCGTCACGGGCGCGATGTGGTAGAACCGCATATCCGCCTCAGCGTGACGGACGAGCAACGGCTTATCGTCCATGACAAAGTGCTGACAGAATGTTTGCTCGCGCGGATTACCGGTACCGACGTCCCAGTATTCCGGTGCGTTGGTCGCCAGCAGAGTCACCACATCACGTTCAACGAGTGTGACGACGCTGTGAGGGGCCTTCATTTCTGCCGCAGCCAGTGAGCAGATCACGTTGAGTTCAGAGACATTGGCGACGTCGTGGAGACGGAAATGCTCAATCGCGGCCATGCGAACCTCCTCGTTCGCTGGAATGGGGTAGATAATCGGCTCTGGCTCCCCCTCCTTTGACTCTTCTTCGTTCTGGACAAGAGCCGGCATCATCGGATACGGACGGGAGTCGGCACTCGCGAAACTTGCAGGCGTCCAGCTCCGTCGGACGTTTCGAGATGTCCATCGCTCGCTTGGCTGCTTCGGTTGGCTGTTGACGGTCACTCGCAGCGTTGAGAAGATTGGCATTCATGTCAGTTTGGCTCTGGTCTTGTTTTTGGTCAATTAGCAGAAGCTGCTCGAGCACCAGGAAGGCAGCACGACGCTGTGCAAGCGCAACTTGATCCGAGTCGTCACACACGACTTGGGTCAGTAGGTCTCCGAGTTTTTGGCTCGACGGCGAGTCGGAGAAGCGCGAGGACTCGGACGCGGCCGTGCTGGAAGTGTCGAACGTACAGACGGAAGATGGCGTCGACACTTCATCTCGGGCAGCTACTGAGTGCCGTGCACGGATTGGAGCTCGCATACCACACAGCAGCGACTGACCGGCCTGTTCGAAGACAAAACGGAGACTGTCCGATTCCAGAGTTTATGGATCGAAAAAGTTGCTTCAGAGTTACTTTCGATTCGAGACAACGTTCGACTCGGGCAACTTCGGCACAGATGGACGCTGGACGCACCTCGAAGATACCACCATGATAGTGTCCATCGTGGAACGATTTGTGCAGAGCTCGAGGAGACGAGTCGATGGGCGACGATGGATTACGGGCGTATCCAAACTCATCGCCTTCCTTCCGGTAGTTAGGGAAAAATGTCACTATCGGCTTGACTGAAGAAGAAACGACAATTCCGGTCGGGAGTCAACCGGCATTCTCGAAGTGGCCAGTTAGCTATGTTGTTTCACTTCCAGAAAGCAAAACATTTTTGTATTTTCTATGAGTTGCAGTCATGCTTCTCGTCGTGGTTTCGCCTCATATCCGATGCTCGGATGATAGTTTTGTCTGAACTTCTCCGGAGCTAGCTCGGGCTCGTGATGAGCTAATTCGGAAGAAGAAGCACTGATACTCTGCCAAATTTCTTTTTTATCCATATTGATTTGCTTTATTTGTAATCTTTTTTTCGTGTTCGGATTCAATGAAATCTGCCCTTTTTGAAAGCAAAAGGCTGTGTTCGCTACTGTTACATTGTGCAATGTAACAGTAGCTGCAGTAGCTTACAATAGTAATCCACTGAACAGACAATTCCCTCGCTAGTCATCTGGTCGAAAGACCGCTTTCCGCCTTTTTTACTCCTACTATCAGTAGGCTACTACAGAGCTGTAGTATTTAATAAAGGGGGTGTAACGTCATCCTAAATAATAAAGGTCATACCGGCTACACAATCACTCCAGAGCAATACAAGTGAAATGTGCTGTACATGTCAATAGCTTGTACCAGGGTACCTTGTAAGTGAGTGTCTGCTCCAAAATGTAAATTTGGTCGAGATTGACAACGAGATAATTTATAAGTTTCTATCAAGACAAATTCATTTCCGTCGGCCGCGATAAACCTGCAAGAAAACAGTAACAAATAGCTACAGTATTCAGATCCTACATGATCACCTTCAGCCCTGATCAACGCAAAGCTTCGTTTTCGAATGAGGGACCGACTCATTCGAGTTCGCGATGTTGTGAAGTGAGCCTTGCTTCCTAGGAATATAGCTGCTGTGACCAGATGGGGATATTACCTTGTTGTTTTTGTTATTACTCTCATATGTAAACAGGACTCCCGATTAATGCATAAATATATTAATTAACCCCGACGTGCTGCATAATGCAGTTTTTTTTCATAAACTGCATTATGCTGCATAAGAGCAATTTAGACTTGAAATTGTATTGAGCGTATTTTTCCTCGCCAGCGGGTATACAAACTTTAAGATAAGCGATCTTGGCAAAATGATCTTTTTCTGTTACATAAGCAAAACCCGATCTGTCTTCTGGCAAGAGAAAGTCGCTCATATTTTAGAAAATTGAAACAAACAACTTTGACGCGCATCAGCAAATTTGACAGGTAACGGCTGACAGCCACTCGCCGACGGAGGGATATTTTTTTCATTTTTTTTCGAGATTTTGCGCGCCTAGGACACAAGTGGAGACACAAGATGGTGCGAGCCCGACACAAACAAGTTCGTGACGTCGACGTGACGTCGAGTGACCTTTCCTGGCGGTCGGTGTGGCGTGAGCTGAGAGCCCAAGGCTGGACTAACAAGCGTCCGTCCAGCCGTGGCCTTGACGACAGATATCGCTACGTCCGTCCCGGATGCAACCCCGACGGAGTCGAAGGAGTCGACGTTTTCCTGGGAGAAAAAGCAGTGCTGGAGTATTATGCGAACGGTAAGGTACTTTAGTGATGTTATTATCAATTGGTAACTAACGTTACATGTTTGCGTACACAGAGCTACGTACTTGAGCGCGAACATCCAGTCTACCTACCCGTGATGATGCTGATCTAGAGTGCGCTGCTCAAGTCGTTCGCGAAACCTACGGCCACCTATTTGAAGGACAAGTGGTCGCAACGAAGCGGAGAGCGTGCCACAACCTTCGCAACCATCTCAAACGCTTTCACCGCCTCGAAGTGCACCTCCTAATGTCCCTGCAAGTGCCCCAACATCCCCACCGTCTAGTCCTGGAGCTGGGCGACGGTCTTCGCGCCCTACGAGGCGCTCATTGGCTGATTCAGAGAGTCCTATGGCGGCTACATCTCCGCCACACACGACACTGATTGCTTCGTCACCCCATGTCAGCGTTGGTAGTCCGGACAACTTCGGCGACGACCCCGAGTTTGAAGCCGAGGAGACTGTGGACGATGTGTCGGTGGAATCGGTCGAGGAAGGAAGCGATTGCCAGCCTGGTGCGTTTTATATTATGCTGCATCTTGTGCTGCATATAGTACTGTATCTTGTGGTGCATTTTCACTAATTTGTGTATGGTTCGTTGCTTTATATATGGTAGTGTTGGAGATGGAGTTGACGATGACGATGAAGATGGAGGAGTGAGCAGTGAGCTACTTGTTGATAAAGACGACTCGCTCAATACGGTGTGTGATGGAGACGACGCTGCCGAGTATGCTGCCATGGAATCTGGTGATGCTGCTGCAAAAGACGATTTGGTTATGGATGAAGACAGTGGAGACGATGACGAATGCGCTGATACGTACATTCCACCTGATGAAGACGAATCGGAAGCTTCTGAGACTGAGATTGCTGCTGAAGTTCTGTTCGCGGAGCGATTCCTATCTAGTTTTGGAGGAGGGGGCGCAGTGTTAGCTGGTAATCTCAAGAACGATGTTCTACGTGAAATGGCTGCGGCTGGTTGGGAAGATGTGGAGGAACCAGATACGTTTGGCTACATGAACACGCCGTACGAGCCGGTGGACAACACACGAAGCTACCCTAGGCTACGGCAAGGGTATTCGGGCCCCACAGCTGATGCACTGCGCAATGCTGACTCTCCGCTTGCGCATTTCGTTTTCTTTCTACCAGTGGTGCTGTGGCAGCACATTGCGGTGTGCTCCAACGAGTATGGGCGTGAAATGGCACGCCTTCGTGTTGATGAACGGTACAAACACTACCGTAGCAAGTGCCGGCTCAATCCTCAACTACCAAAGAAGACCAAGCGAGACATCAAGACAGAGCTAGAAGGTGCGAAACAGATACAACCTCACGAGCTTTGTCGCTTTATCGGCCTCCTAATTGCACGCACGAGTGCCCCCAACCGCGAAAAACTTGCAAACCATTGGAAAACTACTGATGAAGGCGGTATTTCACGTGGAGCGTTTGGATCCCGTGCTGCGTCGCGATAGATTTATGGAGATTTCTTGAAACCTACATTTCAAATCCAAACTCTGATCCAAGGGCGGTC